GTCAAATCTAAAGAAGAAAGTTTCGAAAGAAATTAAGAAAACTGAAAAGCTAAAAGGTGTCACCATGGCTGCGTTAAGCTAGGTCATTGTGGCAGTCAGTTGAAATTACCGGCCCACTTAGACCTTGCAGGCCAATCTTAGCTAAAGCTGGAGAAGAAGTACTTGGCTGTTTCTTCCTCATCTTTGCAATATTCCTAATCTCGAAAAGTGCCAACCTAATAGCGAATGACCGGTTACACAAGATGTGGCCATCGAAATTGCCTCTCTTTAGAAGCTGGGCAGTTCTTCCGTTTTATTCTTACCGATTTCCGACCGTAGTAGCCTAGTTGTTGTACGACTACTCTCATCTGGCCATAAGCTATTGCCCTCTTGATATGGCTATCCTAACAGTACCTCTATTTTCACACAGTCGAGGATAAGTACGTTCCCTAGATAGCTCATAAGTCCTGCAATTTCCTTCAATGTCTCTGTGTTCCGTGATCCATATGAGGCTGACCTTGAAGACGGTGCTAGTAGCATTTAGAGCTGCCAGGCATTCGTGTGAAACCTCTGATCTTAGCATTATTTCGTTCATTAATTTGCTGGCCGTCTGGCTATCCGAGAAGATATTAATTTTAGGCTTTTTTCCGAGTCCCCTACGCTCTGTCCAGTTTTAATAAATCATGTATCGGTGCCGGAAAATGTACGAAAATTTGAGCGTTTCCGAAATTCTGTGAGATGGTAAAGAGCATTTTCCGGATTAAAATCGTTTTAATCAACTCAACTAGAACTGCAAAAAGATGTTTCGATCTTGCCCGCTTAACCTGGAGCTTTTAAGATCCCGACAGAAGAGGGTTTTCAAGGAAGCAACGTACCCATATTTAAATTTGGAACCAGAAATGTGTTCGTCTGGACCAGATGCGACCAGCCACAGCATAAAAATCTATGAGGATAAACTTGAAAACACCGAAGATACAGCTTTAAACCTGGAAGGGCTTCTGGTAAATTCCGGAGACGTAATCTGCATTGCTACGGAGTAGGCAATGCCAAATACAGGCTCCAGAGTTTACGCGTCGTACTCGGTGCTCAACACTTCAGGAGCAACTAATTTCCGAATGCCACGATGTAAGGAGACTAAGCCACATCGCACTCCCGCATCAGAGGGAATAACAGGCATGATAAATAATCCATTCCAACTATTGGAGGATTGCACAAGCAGAACAGACACAAAATAATTTCGCAATTTGACATCGGCAAACCATACCACGAAGGGCGTGTAACTAAAATAGACGCCACATAGGTAGATCAACTGAAAATTATTTCAGAAAGTAAAGAAACTCTCGGTACCTAAATTTGGTAGCGACCAACTTAAAAGAATCGCACATTATTGGAGAGAAAACTTCAACGAACTTATGCGCATGTGGCTCTTCGCGCTTACACCAGGGCTTGCAACGAAGAAGCAGAAAAATACCAAGCTGCTAGGAAGGATCCTAAACTATCCATCGATGCCAGAAAAAAAGGATAATTGGTATAAACTACGTCAGGACATAAATTTGAATCTAAATTCCTGGAATCTTGGCCTTAGATCGAACTCCGGCCAGAACTGAAGGAATAGAGTAGACAAATGTTTTAGAAATAATCCCACTACTCTTGGGCACTCCTAAGTATATACGCAGCTGTGCTATACCATCTATGGTATATCATAATGCCTGTGGGTAGGATGTTTAGAATCGTTTTCGTTGTTTCAGTGGCTGCTGTCCAAAGAAATTAGGCATTCGTAGAGCTGCCTTGTGCACTTTTTGTAATTTGTTACTCTGTAGAGCTATATGGGTCTAACCACGACGGTATATAGCCAGTGTATTACCTTCGGAGATTTACCCCATTTTTGGACGATGGCTTGACACTTGTTGCAGAGACCCCATCCATTACAAAAAATCTCCTTAGGCAATGACCTGGATCGCACCCTGAAGGAGACCGGCATACTACCCATTAAAGCACGTAACCATTCTTAAATTCGTGGTATTGTTTTCAGTATCCATTTAATGCAATCGACGTCATCGGGACATAGTGATTTCTAAGACTTGAATGTCCATATAGACCAGACCACCCTAATGAAAAAGACTTCAGTCACTGACATTGACATGTGGCTCCGCCGGCTTAATGTTCGTTGCTCCCGGGAAGAGTGCGTTTATAACAAAATTCAGAGAAAATTCGGGATCAATCCAAGAGCCAAAAGACATGTGAGAGCATGTTGGGTTTCTTTAGGCTAAACTTGTGAGCATTTTACTCCTTCTGAGATAGACTCCTTCTGAGATACACTCTGGGTATTCCAATTCCACGGAGATTTTCGGCAGTGGCTTAGCAAGCTCCATTTTTGTACAACTTGCTATGGTCGAAAAAGCAACTCCGACCATCGGCACAGCCGTCCTAAAATCAACTCGGAATCATCTACATCGGTTCCCAAGCTGAAATTCGTATATTTTTATTAACTTTATAAATACTTCTGTACGCCTTTTAATATGCAACATGTCAATATTCAATTGCCGCTTATCAAACGAGAGCTCAGAATATACAAATGTACATTAGGGCGAAGCACCAAAAAATATGAGGTTTTTCCACCGAAATTATAAAGAATTCCGCCAAAATATTTCGAAAACTATTAAGATTTCTGTGGGCTAAAACAATATGAAAATTTCTACCTCCAATAAACTCATTATTTTGATTGCTAACTCCAAAAAATTTACAAATAACTTTATTTATAAAAAGCTCGATTTTTGGAACAATTTTAGTTCAGCGATATGTTTTGGTGGAAGTCTTAAAATTTAAAGCATTTTATTATTCCGATGGTAAACCAATTTTTTTTTTTTTTGGTATTTGGAGTGATGCACACTAATGTACACAGATACCGACATATGTATGTCGGTAGATTCACATGTTTGTACAAACTTTGATGCAAAGTATTTCAACTATTTTATTTGCTTTAGTTACATACAATTCTCAAAAAGGGCACACAAACCAAAGCAGCAAAATAAGTTTGCATATTCTGGCACAAAGTTTATTTATAACATATGGAATTTTCACCACTACTGATACTTGCCATGCTACGAGCATACCTACAGAAAGCCAATTTCCTGCCAACCATGTTACACCCACTTTTTTCCCCGCTTTTTCATACCCTACAGCAATGCATAAACGTATGTATGTATGTAGTACACCTTCGATGGGCACCAATAAATTTTTGTTCAAGGACGCTTTTAAAGCTACAGCAGCACAAGCACGTGTAACCACCATGACTATAACAAAAGCAACAAAAACTGATAATAGTACATGTGGGAAGGTATTCGTATACTAACTATGTATGTATGTATGCAGGTTGTTGTACAAGCAGCGACCCAGCAAAGGGAAATGTAAACGAAACATGGAAATAAAATAAAAATTATATTTTATATAGAGGCATTTTTGCTGGTCATGTCACACACAAATTTCATGCAAACATATATACATACGTATACGTAAGTAAACGCTTTAAAGCTTAGAGGTAAATATTAGAGCTGGTACTAGCCGCTTATTCGGATATCCGGATATTATTCGTTCGTATCCGGATATCCGGTTAATCTCCGGAGATTCGGGGTTTTTTAATCGGTTATTCGAATCTTATGCATCACTCTCCATACAAAACAAAATCGATACTATTTTCCATCGGAATTATAAAATTTGTTACACTCTAATAATTCCGCCAAAATATTTTTAACAAATTTGAAAATCTACGTTTGCTGGACCCATTTGAAAATACCTTTAAAAATTTAGTAATTTATAAATAAAATAAGTTTTTAAAAAAAGTTTTTTTTTTTAAAAATCACTTCAGATTACACCGTGCGACAAAAACAAAAAAAAAATAATAATTCAAAACACACGAAAGAATCGATATATTCACGAAACTATGGGCCACATATAGTAAAATTTCGTTTTTAGTTTTTCACTCTGACGCAGGATTTTTGTTTTCAAAGGACTTTGAAATTTTAATGATATGATTGATTCAAAAAATTATTTCAGAAAAATCTGTGCAATGTGGAATAGCAGCACGGGTACCAAGTGAGTGATAAACTACTGTAGAATTTAAAAACAATAAAGTTCTTTGGTTTACAAGCACGAATAGGTACTGAAAATGCGTTTTTAATAAATTTTATCTTTTTAAGTTAATAAAGTTTGCAGGACGAAATCCGATGACGAGGGCTTGCGTATATCAGTCCTCAAACAATCATTTTCTTAAAACAATTTGCAAAATTTCCAAGGATATTAAGGAGGTATTTTAAAATCGGTTTACACCACGTAAATCTTTTTCGAAAATTTTCCGAAATATTTTGGCAGAAGTTTTAAAATATAATAGATTTTAGAGTTGGTGATGCACCCTAATGTATGTACGTCTATGTGATTACGTTGACGACAATTTGCTTGCCAAGTTCAACAAACGCCAGCGCACCTTCGCACCTTCGGACTGACCTCTGACTTGTTGCAGCGCCCCGGTTGGTGCCGACTGGCTGGTTGCCGCTTGGCAATTTCGCTGCATTCGGTTGAGAAACTTTTTACAAGCTCGTAAATAAACTTGTAAAAATTTTGCAGCACAAATAACTAACGCATAAATAAGTAAAGTGCCTGAAGAAAATCGCTTGCCGTCACCTGGCTGGTTAACGTAATTGCTGCCGCATGCAGTAGCCAGTCACAGCTGGCGAAAGTGTTGGCTATTTGTCGTCGAGCAATTTTCACAAATTTCACAATTTTCAGTAAATTGCGACTTTATTTTACTAAATTTATTTTCTCACACATTTTTCGCTAAGAGCTTCTAAATTTCACACTTAATTAGATACGGTATACCCATCTACTATAGTATATGGACACACATGCAAACTTACAAATGTAATTTTCTACTATTTATTTATTTATTAATTTTCTTGCTGTTTATTGTTGTTTATTTTTTTTTTCTAATTTCCTTGTTTTTCTTTCTCGCTCTTGGTTATTTGCAGATTGGATTTCAGTCGTAATTACACACATTGCAATGCATCCCTGCTGGTCAATGACACGCTCGCCATGTCCGGTGATCAGCCGACCTGGTTGAAATTGTTACCGCCGCGCATGCAAACACCGGAGGTGATTCTCAATACATGGCTGCATTTGGGTGGCGCCCCACAGGCACCGATTGGTCTCATAATCGAACTTCCACCGGCTCAGAGTGGCACTGGTTTTACTGGCTGTTTACATTCGTTGCGGATAAATGAGCAAACGCGCGAGATATTTGGGTAAGTAATAATTGAATTAACTTTTTTTATTTTTATCAGCTCTTCGTTTGGTGTCAAACTTGTGTAACAGTGAGGGTAAAAAGCTTTACCTTTACCCTTTAACATTCTGTCAAGATCAAATAACTTGGAATTGCCTTTGATAAGCGCACTAATGGAACTTTCATGTAGATAAAGACTTAAAAAAACTACTCAGGTGGTTTGGAACCAAAGACGAATTTTTTTCGAAGGTGGTTTACACATTCAAGTTAATAGAGTGGCTTTATCGCCCGATCATCGATCCGCTCATGGCTAATGTCCGCGTGATAGCATTTGTAAAACTTCCTTACCTAGAAGGTAGAATTTTTCAGTTTTAATGGGCAGATATTTATTCATATATAAGACCGTGTTTTTGCCTAAGAGTTTGTAGCCTCGAGCTGGTCAAAAATAAACCGTGATTAGAGCTTTAGAATAATTTACAATTATCTATGATAAATAACATTCAGATACACTCTGGCAGAACTATCAATTTTCCAATCGTGGTAGCCAAAAACACTGTAACACTATGTTGGCAGCCACTCAGAGCTTGATGGCAACGAAGTCACCGATGAGCTAGCGAGAGGCATATGTATGCGCTCTTCCACGAGACTTCCAGAGTGCTTTAATAGTGGATAGCGCATAAAGTCGAACCTCTTCTAATTCAGAATTCTAATACTAAGACCCTTCTTCTTTGCCAATTTTCCAAAGTAGCGAACGGCTTGCGGTGCGGTAAACGGATATGAAACTGGGAAACTAAACACAAAATATTAAAGTTTAGACGCCAGAAGATTACCAAAGAATTGTTTTCTTACAAGAAAGCCGTAGGGGACGGAACTTCTTAATTTCTCTTTCCTTGGGCTACCTGAAACACAAGAAATTAATCCAGACTAAGAGCATATTTCCCTGATAAAACATTTTCCGGGGAAAGGGAGGAAAATTGCACTGACCTTTGCGAGCTGTTGCATAAGAGTTGCCTGACATTGGCAATAAACTCCTTCAAACCCTTCAAACTTAGTGAGAAGTGGATATATCCCCTGTGCTTGTATGATATTTGGGCGATGTTTATCTAGAATCGCCGGGAAGAGCTCTCATTGTTTTGCGATAAGGCAAATAGTCTGCCTGCGTTGCTGATGAAGATGCTGAGATGCTGATTGGCCTTCACAATGCATGATCCAAACGCAACACTTTCCTCGATTGGGGTGCTCAACTACATCTTTTCGACAGGATCAAGTACTTTGGTATGATCTTAAAAGCGGTCTTGGGAACCTAATATCATGGAATGAGTTAGGAATGCTAACCGCGAGAGATGTATTGTCTCTATTAGTATGGACAGGTGAAATTCACTAGAGAGAGCTACAAAGGTCTAGCAAGGTCAACGCTAGGGCACTCTAAAATTCTTGAAAGCTTCGATTTCATCCCTGATTACATGGGTAAAATTGTTCCAAACAGTTCTTTCTTTTTTTTCTCTACGCACTTTCAACGGATAACTGAGTAGGTTGCAACTTGGCGGAAGAGTTAGAGGAAATCAGCTTATAGTCCTTGGGTATACGTGACCACTTCTGCCCACTTTAGCAGGAAGACTATCCTCACAGTCGTCCGAGCCGTTGGAACATAGGTCAGCCTTAAACAGCCTTCAAATGTGTTGTACAGCCAGCCCCTGGTCCTCGGACTCGTTTTCGCCAAAGCCCACCACAGTCCTTCAAGGCTAAAAAAAAAATCTGCTCTGAGTCAAATTCGTTAGAAATGAGTCTGGTAGCTCCGCTCAGTGCAAAGCTATTCAATACTATGTGTGTCTTTCTGTCTGACAATAAAGAGAACGCTCAGATCTTAGCACAATGGCGTACTGCGGTAACAATTTTTACGCAATCCAGAGATTACAGAGTATTACTAAACCCATAATTAATATTTACAAAAGCACCCTTTGTCTTGCCTAAGAGTGATGTGGCGCTCTTGCACTAACTTCCGCGTTCAAAATGAAGTGCATTAACGACAAAGCATTAATTTCCGTCAAACTTCAAAAAAAAATTAAATTCCCAGCTGATACTCGAGACCTTTCAAGCACGCTGATCTCATAATTTCCGTGCCTTTGTAAGCAACTTTTTCCTTCGAATATTTCTCACAAAAATCAGCTCTACAAGTAAAAGCTGGCATTTTTAAGCATCAATGAATAGCACAAAAAAATTTCGTCGATAACTTTTCCAGCGACAAAGCGCACAAAAGTGCAGCGTTTAATATTATTCACGTGCCTGGGTGCGCCAGTAGCGCCGGTAATGCGAACGCAAAAAAAAACCAACAACAACTACAACAACAAAAAAGCGAGTTCACTTACTTAGTTAAGCATATCTCGTAATTAATTTGTAAAGTTGAGTGGCAAAAGTTTTCGATAACTAAACTCATTGGTAGACTCGTCGCTGCTGCTGCACTCAGAAATTAATTTAACTTTTCAAAAATGTCAATTGTGTGCCACTTGACCTCGGTGTGAGAGGAGGAGGAGGAAGGAAAAAGAGAAGCTGCGAAAAGTAGATGTACAATAGTGATGCCCTTTCAGGCACAATGAAGCAAACTGGCTCAGTGGCGCTTGGGGTGTGCGTGTGCGTGCCTGCGCCTTCAAGTGCACTAATTTAAATGTCAATATTAACGGCAATGCAAGTGCATTAATATTTCAATAGCATACCTCTACCCTTCCTGCCATCCTGCCTCCATATTGCACAGTCACGTGCGCTTCTCATTCACTGACGCTGTACGTATGTATGTACATAGCTGACCCAACGACCAAGCGACGACCCATTAACTAACTCGCTGACGGCCATTCAGGACGACTGCACTGCGTACGCTTCGTGGCGCGCGCGTCAATTCGTGCAATTACAATGGCCTCAGCTTATGCGCTGGCCGAAAAGCGCTGCATAATAAAACATCATCTCCGTCACTGCCGCCACCACCACGCCTCTCGCCATACCCTACCTACTATCCCACCCCCTTTATCTCCCCATCCACTCTATTTTCATCTTTTTAGTTTCCGCGCACTTTACGCTAAAGAATCGTTTCCATTTCCGTTTCGCTTCCGTTTGATGTGAAATTGTCATCCACACAGCACACATTTACGAGTCCCCGCCTGTTGGGTCGAGCGACCCGACGACGACCTCTCCAACGCCGCTCTGTAAAGTGTATTCTTTCAATATTGCTGGACTTGTTGTTGTTGCTTTTGTTGTAAAATGGTTGCATATTTTATTCCAAGTACTTGCATTCAAAGCGACCAGAACTGAGTCGTTTAGCCCATTGTTCAAATACTTGAATACTGAATTCGCATAGCCGTTGGGCTGTCGTTGTCGCCGCCGTCGATGCTGTTGTCACCGAAAACCGTTGAAAGAGATTGTGCTCTACTTAAGTATGTACCTGTGCTGTATAACCGAATAAGGTGGGAGCGCGTCATTGTAAGGGGAGTCACAAAGAGGTGCATAATTTCAGATCTATTCAAAACGAGAAACGTGAATAAAAATACGGGTGAACTACGAGTACTTGAAGCACATACAGCGACTTTTCACTCTTTTGCATTGGAAACACTTTAAAACTTTATTTTTTTATGAATAAATTTAGTACAAAATAAAACACTAATGTAGTTGAATGACCCCAGAGTCTCCCTCTCTCATACTCGCGGGTTCTACCCGCATTTTGCACTGGTGTGGGAAGAACCCCGCCCTCTTTTCCGATAGGTCCGAGGGCTGGGCCCAACAAAGGGTGTGTCTGGCTCATTTTCAGTTTAAAACCAGTTTTTTCATTGCCATCATAGCCCTCATGAGCAGGCACCCAGGTTATGGAGACCCTATTTTTCTTTTTCTAGTGAAAGAGATTTTTGTAGTTTTATTGGAATTTAAGGACAATCCCTATTTCCTACACTAATGATATGTTGTGTTTAAAGCGTCCAGCATCAAGTCCCTAATGGTGCTTTCATGCTTGCCGCTTATGATAATTGATATATCGTCAGCGTAGCGTATGGTTTGATATCCTTTCACATTGAGGACTTGAACTAGTTCATCCGCCAGTATAGACCATAACAGTGGAGATAACACTCCCCCCTTTGGGCAGCCTTTTACTGCAATGAAGCTGAGTTCTCCCGGTCCTATGTTCGCCTTGATTGTCGTCTGGGTAAGCATATTGCCGATCCAATTACTATTTTGGGATAGTGCCACTCGTGTGGATTTGAACCTAGCATTGTCAAAGGCACCCTCTATGTCCATGAATGATCAGAGGGCAATACCCTTCGATGCAAAAGCTTTTTCTATTACACCTGCAAAAGAGTGAAGTGCTGTAATTGTTGGTTTTCCTTTTTTATAAGCGTATTGGTGCTTATGTAGTGGAGAGCTAGAGAGTATCTCCTCGCTTAGGTGCTGATCTAGTAGTTTTTCCAATATTTTTTGCATGAAGGATGAAATGCTAATTGGCCTGTAGGATTTTGGAGAATCTAGGCGTTTATTCTCTTAGCAAGTTCGTAAGATGACTCGTTTCTTAGTTTGTTGTAAAATCCCAATCCAGTAGCCAACCTCTGAATCAGAACCTAAGGCAAAGGTTCTGGAATATTCAAGATCTGGTTCCGATCGTACAAACCACTGTTCGCTGTCTAATCTGTCACACTTTCTGAGTAACTCAACTTTCTGTGCACAGGATTTAGGACCAATATCCGGCACTAAATTCCCACCCCTCCTGTGGGTTTTGACATTCCAGCGACTGGTATCCAGTTCGAAATTCTTGACATAAAAGGCACTCAGGACACCTGTCGTTTTCCGGGTACGTCCCTGAATCCAACAGATGG